GCCTCCATGATGTTCTTGGGGGTTCTGGGCTCAGTTTTGGAATCTTCCTTGAGCTGCTGTGTCAGCAGGTTGGGATAAGCAGGTGAATGGCTTGCTCAGGGGGAGGAAATTGGGGTTTGTGTCCAGCTCTGTGGTTCACGTCCCCTCTCTGTGCCTCAGTTTCCCTGCATTAGGAGATGCTGCTGGTGCTGGGACCGCTCCATGCCGGCAGTTGTGGTCCTGCTGACCAGCACTTGCCCAGTGGGCTGGGATGGGTTAGGGTGTCAATTCCTGGACAGGCTGCTGGAGTGGGGACCTGCCAGCTGGAGCCTGCCCAGGTGTGGGTACCTGCATGCCCAGGGGTATTTCTGCTCCCACCAGATGTGCCGGCTGCGAGAGCTGGGTGGCCCAGCTGTGCAGGGAGGGCAGGAGCAAGATGGGTGCTGTGAGCCAGAGGAAAGCCCTGTCTGCCTCTGCTCTTAGCTTGCCCCGGTGCCCCAGCAGCCTTTGGTCACCGGGGTGTGTGGTGGTGCATGGCTTTGCTCCGAAAGCCGTGCTGCTCCCCAGCCCTCCCGCGCCTCCGGCCGCCCCCACGTCCATACAGCTGGAGGTTTCAGTTCTGCATCTCTGCTGCCCAAGGGGAACTCAGCCAGCGAGAGTGAAACTCGGTGGCTCCAACGGTTGTGCTTGTGCCACCCCCCCAACGCCCCCTCATGTCCCCATGGTCCTTGCAGGGCCAGCAGCCGCTGTTGCAACACTTGCAGCGACAGCTGTGCCACTCGTCTGCTCTGACCTTCCCTGGAGAGTGGCTTCCAGCTCCCTGCCCAAATCCAGGGGCTGGATTTGGTGCCACGCTGGGACCCCTGTGAAGCAACACCTCTGCAGGGTGACCTGGTGGAGCAGGGCTGTGAACCCCAACAGTTCCTACCCTGCCTAGATCTGGGTACCTTCCCACCGTCCCTCTAGGGGTTTGGAGGAGCTCCAGTGGAGCTGGTCACGCTCTGCATGATGCCCCAGCACAGCTGCCTTGTTCTTGGTCCCTGCTCACCTCTGCACTGTCGTGCCGGGCAGCCGAGCCTCCCGTGCCACTGGAGGTGGATTTCCTCCTGCTGTGCTGCTGGACTCTGGCACCACTGGGTGGTTGGGAGCTGGGGCTCCTCACTGTGTTTAACTGCCAGCCCGTCCTGCCTGATGCTCCTGCTCGGAGTGAGATCTCTCCCAGTTTGTTCCTTCCCACCTCTTGGTGTCAAGCCAGAGGAAACCCAACTGGAAAAGGCTCAACAGGTCTAGTTAAACTCTGGGGATATTCTCCGTGGCTGGTACAAACTGAAAGCTTGTACCATCCCATCCATGGCTGGGATGCTTTAGTTTTGTGGACTTGGGAAATGGAGCAAAATTGATAAAGTCCTTTTTTTTTCTTTTTTTTTTTAATTTTGCCTGCTCCTTGGTGTTTTGGGACTCCCTGAGACTGACACGGCACAGCTCTGGGAAGTGGGGTGTAGGGTCTCCCTAGTTTGGGGTGGGAGTCCGTGAGCACCTGGCAGAGGAGCGGCGGGCTGGGTTGGGAGCCCGAGGTGAGGAAGTTTGGGTTTGGCATCCAAATGTTTGCAGCCTGAGCCCGTTGCTAGAGGAAACATGAAAAAAGAGGAAGGAGAGATTGCGGTCACAGCTCTTCCCCTCCGCAATCTGCGCCTCCCTCTTGGCCCCTCCAGCCCCAAAGCTGGTGATTCTGCCCATCCAGCCCCCCTTGACTTTCCAGCTGTGTGCTTGGAAGACTATTTATTTGGGGGTATTATGTGTATATATGATGTAGGCAGGGGTTATGTGTATTTGGGGTTTATATACGTGGGAATAAATATGTATTTCCCCCACATCTATACATGTGGGGGAACATATATATATATATATATATATATATTTGGTGGGTTATATATATGGGAATATGTGTATTTTGTGAGGGCTATGTGTATGGCAATACACATATATTATGTGTGTGGGAATACACATATAATATGCATATATTTTGGGGAGTTATATATGTGGGAATATATAAGTGTTTGAGGGTGTAAGCAAAGACTGGCTGTGGCACAGGGACTGCTGAGCATCAGCGGAGCAGATATCCAGGAAAGTCACCAAAAACCATTCCTGCACATCCTCCAGGATCCTTACGAGCAGGTTGGAGCAGCTCCCTGCTGCCTTTTCATGCCAGCCTAACTGCTTCAGTTAAAAATGGGGATCCCAGGAGGATTCCAGGAGGAACCCTAGTTCTCCTGCCCTCAGGAATTTTGGTTTGTTACTTGGTGAAGCCAAAGCTGTGGTTTTCAAATAGGAAGAGTGTTAGCACCTGCTCAATATTTCTGCCCCAAAGCTGAACATAAAGATTGTCTTGTCTTTAGCCCTTTCTCTCCTTCTTTTTTCACTCAGAAAGGGGAATTCACTTGCCTTTGCCACCTCCATCCCTCTCTATGTGTTTTTTCCCTCAGCCTATAAAATAACAAAATTTTGAAAACAGGATGCTTTCCCCCTTCCCTGGGCAGCATTTCTCTGTCTGAAACAAGAAGGTTTTGAAGGCACGTGTGTGGTGGGGTGAGAGCTGGGAGCTGCCCAGGAGCCCTGGGAGTGGCCAGTGGCCTGACCCAGCCCCAGCCCCTCAGCAGGGCCTGCTCTCACTGTGCAGGTCGAATGGTCACCTTTGGAAATCCTCCAGAGTTTCTGGGAGCAGTGCCAGGATACCCGCTGGATGGGGCAAAGGACGTGCCTGGACAGACACGGGAGCTGGCAGTGCCAGTGAGTGGGGGCTTTGCTCCTTTGTACCAGCTCAAAATGTTGCAAAATGGGGACTCGGGGGTTCACTGGGGTTTGCTGGTGCTGGAAGTACCACCAGGTCCAAAGGGCAGCAGCTTCTGCAGCTTGGGCAGGGCGTGAAGCAGCCCTGGAGCTGTCGGGCTGGAGAGGGTCAGGGTCTCAGGACTGTCACCCCACGTGTGCTGTTCATCCCTGTCTCAGGTGACACTGGGCTGTAACCCTGTGATGTCAGAACTGCCTGCAGGCTGAACACCCCAAAACCAATCCTGCTTCCCTTGGAGTTCCCCACCTTGGCCCTACAAGGGGCAGCTCATCTGCCAGGTTGGGCTGGCAAAGGCACTGCTGTTAGTTGTCACCATCTGGGGACTGTGGCATGGCCAAGGGCTGCGTGGGGTCAGCTATTGTCCAGAAGTCATTGTCCTGGTGGGCTGTGAGAGCCAGGGATGTGGCTGCTGCTGACCACCAGCCATGGGCAGTTCTGTCAGTGCAGGAGTGGTGAGTGGTGGCTGTGTGGCTGTACCGGCTGTCCCATGGCACCATCCTGGACGTTCCTGGTGTGTCTAGTGGCATCTCCCACTGAGAGAAAACAGCTCTGTACAGACATCTGAGGTCTTGTCTGGCCACACGTCCCCCATTGCATCCTGCTGGGCTGTAGAGCTGACCCCACACCCCCCAAAGCAAAGCCAGCATGGGCACAAAGCTCGGCCACATCCTCCCGTCAGCCTGGCCTGTGGTCCCCGGTCCCCACGTGGCTCTGCCACCAGCCCTGCAGTGTGAGACCGCTGAGAGCTGCTCGGACACCGAGAGGAGCTTCAGGAACCCCCCGAGAGACCCTTGGCCACTTCCCTCGTCCTGGCTGGGAGCGTGGCACGAGCAAGGTGGTGCTTCTTGTGTGGGTGTCCCTGTCCCCAGGTGGTCAGTCACCCTGCAGGACACTGTTTTATTCAGGGAAATAAAGGAGTGGTCCTGGGGGGTGACGGGTTGGTCTGGGCTTAATTGGGTGCGAGTGTGGCAGTAGCTGGAGCCCCCCATCCTTGTGCCCACCGCTCCCCCGCTGTGGAAGAGAGGCTCATCTGTCTGTGCTGGTGAGGGGATCCCTGTGAGTGCTCCATTTGCAGGACTCCAGCCCAAGTGCTGTGAGGTGTGAGGCTGGAAGGCCGCTTGCAGCTCGTCTCTTTAGGGGTGTCCCCTCGGCCTGGCTGCTCCGGAGCGAGGGGAAGGTGCAGCCCCGGCCGGAGCCACGCGCTCCTCGCTCCAGCTTTGTTCAGGGTGAATTTTGTAATGTCAGGAAATGAGCTGGCTGTGGGAGGGGAGGCAGCTGGGGGAGGAAGGCTGGTTTTGTGGTTGGAGCGGAGGATGAGGACGCCGGAAAGCTGAGCACAATTCCTCGCTCTGTTGCAGGTGCTGGGGGTGAGGCTGCAGTTTGGGAGCTGGCGGTGCGTTTGAAGAGCGGGTGCTGGCCTCTGTGCCTCAGTTTCCCTTTTGTTTGGCGCCGTTCTCCTCGCAGGGAACGTTCCTCGTGAGGGAACTGCCTCACAGGAGTGTGCTGTGGTGATGGGCTCTGCACAAGTGCCAGATGCTTGTGACCACCAGCACAAGGCCAGCTGAAACCACTGGGCTTTGCCCCAAGGGTCTCCTCCCATCTCGCAGTGGTGAGTGGGATGAGTTTAGGAGCTGTGTTTCCTTCTGGGCCATGGCAGATTCTCCTTGGGCCAAGCACTGGGACAGTGTCTGAGCAAGAGGGTCAGTGCTTTTTCTTGTGGGATGTGCATGAGAATCTTCCCAGAAAACACAAAGTTCAACTAAACTTTGAGCAACTCTCTGCTGGCCACGCTGTCGGCTTGGGCTGAATCCCTCGTTAATGTTAACTTTTGGTTTATGATTCCTGAACTCTTCTTAATTTCTTTCCCTCTGGTCTCACCGAGATGCTTTCCACATTGCATAGTCCCAGGGCTCCTGGTTCCCTGGATCCCTGCGGGGGCCTGGCCGGGTCTTACCCAGCCTGCATGGCCCTTGCAGCAATGCTAAGGCTCAGGGCAGTGCAGGAGGGGACCTGCAGCCCCTGTCCCATCAGCCAGGTCTGCGGGGGATACTGGGCTGCCCTCGCTGTTCCTCCATCTGGCTGTGCATGGATGGGACATGTGGGGAGTCCTGTCCTTGCCTCTGTCCCCGCCTCTGTCCTCTCAGACTCACAACTGCTTGCTTTGTCTTTGCAGTTGGATTGAGGAGCGGTGGCTGCAGCTCATCCCTGGCAGGAGCAGAAGATGCAGGAGGCTGCGTAGCAGGTATGGGGGAAATCCCAAACTCTGGGTTCCTGCCTTCCCTTTGGGTTTGCTTGGCCGTGTGTGTCTCCCCTGCTGCAGGCTGGCAGCAAGCAGAGGCTCCCACAGAGGATGCAGCTGCATGCAGCTCAGGGCTCTCAGGCTCCCACAGTGGTGCTGACCAGAGGCTGCAGCCCTGCTCCAGTGAGATCTGGTGCAGGAAGGGCACAGGGAGCACCCTGCTGCACTGTGCACCCCTCACCTGCTCTGCACACGGGGGTCCTGGGGTGTGGGGTGGGCCAGCAGAGCCCCCCGAGCAGGGCAGGGAGGTGGTGCCCAGCAGTGCGTGCTGCTGCTGTTCTCCAGTGCCCATCTTCCCCTTCACTTCCCCATCTGATGGCCCCCAGCCGTAGCCACAGCACTGATTTGGGGCTCTCTGGGTGTTTTGCAACACAGCCCTGTGTATCAGTGCAAAGGAGGGCTTTCCTGCCCTGTTTTCTCCCAGTGTGGACAAAATTGTGGCCAAACCTGCTGTTATTTTGTCCCTTGCACTCCTCTGAAATAAGGTGCTGCTAGTAGAGGGCCTTCTGTCTAAGTTTTCTTCCTTTTCAACCTTCTTGGCCTGTTTATTGCTCTTCCAGTAAATGTTTGTGTCTCCTGTGTCTGCAGTGAGGTTGTGGTACAGACACCACTGCGGGCTGGTTTATGAGGGCTCTATGGTTTCATGAAATGCATCTGCTGTACCTGAGAGTGAAATCAATAAAAGGAAAGATTTTTAAAAATAATATGCCCCTAGCTCCTGAACGGAGGGGGCTTTGTCACAACTGCTTAGTGAGCAGTTTTGTGGGGTTGTGGTGATTTTTAGTGCTGGAGATGGGGCAGGTTATTTATTTGGAGGCCTGATGATGGGAGATGGGGGCAGCATCACTGCGTCCTCTGCAAGGTCAACACCAAGAGCTTCATCTGCTGATAGAAACCGAGAGCAGCTCCCCAGGCTGGGCCAGGGGGAGTGCAGCAGAAGGGCCCTGCTGTGTCTCACTGGTGCTTGGTGTGTGCCAGCCATGGGCCATGGTGTGCCCAGGGGACAGAAGGGCTTGAGGGCTTGGCCGGGTCTGTCCCGCTGTGGCTGAGCTGAGTGCTCCAGGAGTGTTTGGGGGGCTGGTGTGGGACCAGCTCTGACCCACTCCTCTGGGCACAAATGAGTATGGGGCACGTTTCGGTGTGGTGAGTGAGTACTTGGCGTGACGGGGCAGTGGGTCTGGCTGCTGTGGGGTGTGCGTGGAGGGCAGGGCCCTCCCTGGCTCCCAAACACCGCGGTCCCGCTGGACCGTGCCCATTCTGTGCCAGCCCGGATGCTGGTGGGTGCTGGCAGATCTCTCGGTCACGGCGTTCTCCCCACATCCCTACTTGCTGCTGGACGCGGTGCCCGATGCCGCCAGCTCCGTCCTGACCGGTGACAACAGCTCCTTGTGTTCTAGTTTCACACAAATTCGTGGGTTTTGGGTTGGCAGTGTCCTCCCGCAAAGCCCTCATACCTCCACTGGTGCCAGCACAGAGTTTGAGTGAGGAGGAGCAGTTTAGTGATTTCTGCAGCTGCAGAACTGCTCGCTCCAAGGAGCAGCTCAGCAAGTGGTGCACTCGGGGAGGAGGATTTGGAAAAGCATCTCTGGGGACTGCTTTAAGACTTGTTCCCTTGGCAGTGCAAGTGACAGGAGCTGAGCAATTAGAGGAGCAGTATCGACCCGGCCTCGGAAGTGTGTGACGGCCGGCACCGGGCGATTTCATCCCCCTGAAGCCACGTCCTCGCGTCCTGGGCGTGCAGCATCGCTGCCTGCGATCAATAGGCATTTTGTCTGAGGCCAACCCCATCTGAGGCGAAGCAGGCAAACCTTCTTGTGTGACAGAAGACTCTCCTAGGGCCTGTGACCTTAACCGGATGGACTCTTTCGTGTCCTGACGACGGTCGCATCGTCTTGCTGCAGCCATGCCTGGTAAATCATATGTCCATCCCTGAATGCAGCGATGTGCCACCCTGCTCCTCTCCCAGTGAGATTTTGCATCCTGAGGCTGATTTCCAGCTGCTTGGGTAGAGCCCTTGTGTCACCAGGTCTGTTCCTCTGCTGTCTGAGGCCTTGCCTGTGTTCTCTTGAAGGTTCATTAGCAACTGGAGTTTGCAACTCGCAGGCTCCCACTGTCCTCGAGGTGTGAGTGTGCCACCTCACCTGGCACCTGGCTCTTTGCAACTGGCAAGATCCTCCTGATCTCCAGGGAGAGCTTGTAAAACCCAGCCAGTGGGCGCACTGAAACCAAATCCCCGCTCTCGACCCTTTCGGATATGGAATACTGAATTTGGTAAAGCAGTGGGTTCCTGCTGTGTTTGCCGCAGCTGAAATGTGGCTGAGCTGCTGGAGGTCACCTTTCCAGTCCCCGTGGAGCCGGGTGGCCTTCTCTGGTCATGGCACTGCCCTGCGCTTTGGGTTCTGAGCTCATCCGCTATTTTGCCACTGGCGGGGAGGGGGTGGGGGGGGATCCGCGTCTTCAAAGCCCTTTTCCCTTGGGGAAAAGCCAGCTCGGTCAGAAATGTCCGCGCAGAAATGTCATCTGACCCGGCAGCTGGCTCCCGCCTCCCGGGGGTCCTGCGGCGTGCGCGCCCCGCGGGCGGCCCCGGTCCGGCTGCCGGAGCACGCCAGCCCGGCCGCTGCCCGCTGCCCGGCCAGCTCCG